TGTATGTGTAGCCAAAAGGCTCTGCTCTCTCAAAGTGAAACAGCAAGTCTGTACTACGCTTATCAGAAAAATATAGTCAACGATAAATTAATTTATTCCAGTGGTTTCCAACGTTTAAAAAATCTAGGATCACAAGTCTGTGAGAAGGGCGTGATATTAAATGGAAACATATTTTGGACATTTTCGAATACCTCGTTATTTTTTTATAGTCTTGTTTAAAACTATTACAGTCTGTTAAATACATGGTAACATAAAATGACAAAGAACATCCCATCCAATCTCTCGGCACTTACAAATAAGCATACAATGTCCAATAAAATATAAAACAAATTGTTTACAAAAACTGATAAAACCTCCAATGTTTAGGAGAATGATTTGCAGTGCATGAGACGAGTGATATAACCAGTTTGGGATGCGATGTACGCACGTGCGAGATGCCACTCGTAGCTTCGTCCACGTGACCGTTACAGTTATGTTGATGTCTGCAACATACGATAGGGAATGAAGGAAATTATTTTAAAATTTATGAAGCAGAATTCATACAAAGTTTTGTTATTTTGCATCTCAACATGACCGTAAACTAATCTAAATGTTTGAGGAATAGACTTTGTCGACCTTTACCCCAAACATGGGTTCATTTTCCAACGGATTGTCAAGTCTCGAGATGTTTCCAGAAACTTCGCTCTTCAGCTGTCTGTAGTAACTATACACGATAAGCCAAAAGTAGAAGAAAATTCCTGTAAAATAAAACAATAACAATTGCACACTCAATTTCACTATACTATTGAAATTATTAAATTAAACTTAAACAGAATGAAATTTCATAAAACAATTCATACTATAAATAACAACTTTGTGAAAATTGAAAGCAGAAATAATTAATCGCCTAAGCACTGTGTTGTACTCATAAGGAAAATGTGCATTTTTACATAACATCAAGCCAAGAATACAAACGTACTGAGTGAATAAAAACTCTGTAAGCGTATCATATCGCGTGGTAATGCAGATTACTAGACTTCTAACAGGTGTTCATTTAATCAACGTTACTCTGTAGCAAAATATCGTGGTGGAAAAATTGTAGGTTATTTCTCTTTCGGAAAGTTTTTCGGTTTGACTCGCATGGACGGTAGTCGATGGAAGACGACAAAGAAATTACAAATATCCCTTTTCAAGTTAGAAATCCCGCTTCGTAATCACTATGCCTCGGGTTGAAATCCTAGTCCACAGACCGGCTACCCTGACTGAGGTTTTCTGCAATTTTCCTCCATTTCTCAAGAAAAATGCTTTAACTACGTCACGATAGTGTCTTTCCAATTAATTACCCGTTCATCATCCTATCATTCGGCGCTAAATAGTCTCAGTTATCGACAGCATCATGAAATAAACAATAAAACAAATGTTCTAGTTGGGTCTTCGGAATAAGACTGTATTAATATGATTGTTTCTTCACTGCACCAAAACCATCACACGCTATTCGCCTGAAACGATGAATGAAGTTTCAGGCGATGGTGAACATAAAGCCAATGGGGTTTTCTTCTTATATTTATGTTTTATTTACACTGATGCCAGTTATCCAATTGGCAGTGACGTACTGTTTTCCCGATATTAAATGCCAGGCTACAAGTCCCACTGTTACATATCACGACGTTTAACATTTCATAATAATTCATAATCTTAAAATTATGAGATATAAATGGTCTAGTTAGCTGGTACATTCATTTTGTGTAAGCCATGTCATTTACTGTAGCATTGTACTGTCTTGTAATTTAGATGATGTTACTGTAAAAATGCTGTTTAAATGTTACCAGAGTAACATTAGAGTCTGATCAAAAAATATATATAAAATAATGAATGTGCGTGTAAAATTTATGCTTCAAAGACTTAGCCTGAATGTTCTTGTACAAAATCCAGCCTCATAATCTGGCCCATTGACTGCAGTAAATCTAAAGTACACATTTAACAATACAAGGGCAGTTCATTTTACATATTGTCCTTGAAATGAAAATCCAACAGACAACATACATTTCCACTCACCTATGATGAGAGGTCCGACGACCAGAATAATTGTACTGATAAAGATTGCAGTTGCTATGTAAAACAAATTGCATATGATGACGAAGAGGACTGCTGTTCCAACCAGGTAGTGAATTACTGCAGGCAGAATCAATGCTGGTTTCTTCTAAAACATCAGATGCAATAGAATTTCATACCGGAAAAACCTTCTGATTTGATGTAGGCAAAGGATGATCACTGGATATTCCTCATTTTAATGAGTATAAATGATGACTCCATAGTTTCGGAGGTTCTGTCTCTCTCATACCGCAAGCCCTCCCCATTATGTGGAATCACTGCGTCGGGTCCCGCTTTTCTTAGTCTTGCCGGCACAGCCGCTAAATGCATTTATCTTACTTGTTGATTTTTATAGACAAAAAGACATTTCCAATGAAACATTTACTTATATGGGCTAATCCTCTTACAGTAAATTAGGTTTATAATACACTGATACCACTTTAATACACTAAACATTTAATTAGACTTAATTCTCTTAAAAAGATCGTTTAAATAAAATGTAAAAACTCAGTTCTTGTCCAAAATAAAAAACAACACTAGTCCATTACAAGGGCTTCTCTGCCAATTATCCCCAAGAAAATAATCACAGTTAACTTTGAAAATCATGAATATACACTGCAGTCAAAATCCATAGTTAATGATTATGAAAGCAGGAATCAGAGTTGACGAAACGTAGAGCTTGTCGCTTGCTTTTGAAGAGAAGATTGTCTCTGAGAAAAAGAACTACTCACGCTATGCTTGTTCAACACAGGAAAGTAGCATACCTTACCTTTTCTATGCCAGCTATAAGCAGAAGGTTGATGACAACGCCAATAATACCAATTAAGATGAAATTAATTATGATGCTATCATCTGCAAGGAAAATATTACATATGCATGTAAAACGAACGCCAGTAACTTGTTTAAGAAAATTGTAATTCCGCTCTCTTATCAGATATATACAATATGACCAATTATTAAGACCCACATATTTAATACGTTTAATAGTACAAAGAACAGCAGGTCAGGATCGCCTGATGAAATTTATAATCCCCAGTTATTTATCTACGAGTAAATATGGAAAACTAATTATTTAGATAAAACGAAATCCACAGTGGGGGCTTGTGAATTTCGTAGAATATGTGCATTCCTTTTATCTGTGTCATCAGAATTATTTAAATAAGCCATTAATGCACAGAGTGTAACAAAAACATGTATACACAACAGCAAATTAGGTGGTCACTTGCCACTCATTTACTCATGCCGCGGTAATTTTGATAACCTTACGTTTTATATTTATTAGACGATGGATAATATCCAAGAATATTTTTATTCAATTGAACCTACACTAGATTCGCTAATTCATTAAGCGCCAATGCTGACATATAATGATTTATTTTATTCGTTGAATTTGTGTACACAGCGTTTCGGGACTTTCTGTGCGTGTAGAACATGAAATATCAATAAGAAATAATATACTCACATCTGTAACTTAAACGCAAACCTCCGGAACCTGCAATGATGCTGAGAAGTATACCGACAGCAGCGATGACCTGAAAAAGATCATTTTAGTTCAAGTAACGGTGTAATTACTTCTCTTACGTAAGTAAAAGAGAGTTTTGTTGTAGTTTCTCGACATACAAAATTTTTCCTAATATATTATGAAAGTCAGTTGATACTTCCTCTCAATTATTTTTCATTCAGCTATTAATTACTTCGAAGACGAATTTTAATTTCTTGGGCGTAAACATCCCGAAAAAATGTTCTGTATAAACTATAAAAAAAATAAAGAAATTAAGTCTTCAACCGCAGGTCTACCAGTTACGGATTTCCTGTATTTTCAATTTTACATCTGTGTGCAGATTTACCAACTGCTGTATTTACTTTATTCATCAGCGTACACGTGAAAAATATCAGTGGCGTGCTAACCAACAGATGCACTTTGCTGCAATGGCATCCCAGTTTCCTTAACTGCATTTACGTTTCCGAGTTTTTTATGACTCTCGGTGTAGATGGCGCACCTTAAAAAGCATTAACCAGTTGATCTGTGTGATTTATTTATTTATTTATTTAGTGTTCTGTCTGACGACAGGTCCATATGAACAGGATCCTTCCATCCTTTTCTCGGACTGGGACCTGTTCATATACGTTCTTGGCAGATGATCCAGAAGTGGTTTGCCATTGCCTTCTTCTGTGTGTGAATTGAGTAATTGTTGGACGGAGGAAAACTCCGTGTTGCCTAGACCACGGCCTTGCCCAACAATCTGTGTGACAGGGAAGTGTAATTCCTTTGTCGTACGGACTGAATTTTTGTATACTATTTAGACTAGGATCGGTTTCAGTGTGTTAATTAAGCAGAGTAAAGACATTCTCTTTAAAGATTACAGTCAACACGCTATCTCATACGTGAATGGCATTGGCAGAAACACAACACCGGAATCTGTGCTGTGTTGTTGGCAGAAACAAAGTCTTACTTGATTGTTAAAACAGATGGGGCATATGGTTACCATTGGGCGTTAATGGGATAATTCATATAAATATAGGCCTATATAAAATGAACAAAGGACTGTAAAGAATAAAAAATAGTTCACTGCTTTACACGCCACTTTATACCGTAACAAGCAAAAACTTTTATAAAGTAATACCTTTTCTTGTATTGCGTCTTTTTATTAACGCGATTGGAATAGAAATATGCTTCAGTCTTAAATTATGTCTCTAGTTAGCCGACTTACAGTTTCCAGTACTGCCAGTATCAAGGCTCCAGACCTCACGGAGATTTGTCCAAAGAAGCAAGATGTTTTAAGCGGCATCATCGCGAACCGTCACCTGCGAGAACCGACAAAGTTTCCCATAACATTATCACCACGTATTATCTCGTTACATTCACGTACATGTATGCCACTGGCACCCACGCCACAGACCAAAAACTGATAAAGCAACGAAACTGGAAAACATTATATATTATTAGGGCTAAGAAATGAAGGACATCAGCAGAGCACGTAGCATGCATGCACAATTTGGGTCGAAAAATCGAAATTTAATAGAAAGTTATGGAGTCAGACCGTACACCCATTGTTGAAGTTATTCTTATAGTATGAAGAGTTCTGTCTTCTGGGTTGTTGCGCTGTATAGTCTGGTAGATGTTTACCGACGTTTCAGAGGTCATACTGCCTCCGTCATCAGAGCGATTCTTTCTAAGTTATCTACGCTATGAAGATTTCTGTCTTCTGGGTTCTTGCGCTGTGTAGTCTGGTAGATGTTTACCGACGTTTCAGAGGTCATACTGCCTCCGTCATCAGAGCGATTCTTTCTAAGTTATCTACGCTATGAAGATTTCTGTCTTCTGGGTTCTTGCGCTGTGTAGTCTGGTAGATGTTTACCGACGTTTCAGAGGTCATACTGCCTCCGTCATCAGAGCGATTCTTTCTAAGTTATCTACGCTATGAAGATTTCTGTCTTCTGGGTTCTTGCGCTGTGTAGTCTGGTAGATGTTTACCGACGTTTCAGAGGTCATACTGCCTCCGTCATCAGAGCGATTCTTTCTAAGTTATCTACGCTATGAAGATTTCTGTCTTCTGGGTTCTTGCGCTGTGTAGTCTGGTAGATGTTTACCGACGTTTCAGAGGTCATACTGCCTCCGTCATCAGGGCGATTCATCGATCAGACTACACAGAGCAACAACCCAGAAGACAGAAATCTTCATACTCACCGCTGTGAAAACCTCAAATCTCACATTCTTATAGAACTTGATTATAGCTCTCTAACACGAGATACGTCATATTGAACCGGGAAAGCTAGCTTAAAACCGTTATTCTTACCTTTCAGATTTCTTTTTATGAATCCACAATTCTTCTCCCTTCACTGTTGATCAGCACAGCACACAGAAACTGACTGACGTTGTGTGTCCTTCTTCCTGTATAACTGATAAGTACCCGGCTGAAAAAGCTTCTCTTGCAGATAGGATTTCTTTCTAGGAATTACGAGCTCAGCAACAATCGAAACGTAACGTAACTTGAGAGGCCTAAGTAAGCAAAATCTTTCAAGGAGAAGAACTCTTACTGAATCCTTATCTCGCCCCTCATCCGGTGTCATTTCATGAAATTCATGTTGCCTTTTGCATGACCGAATAGCAAGTACAGTACTCAGCAAATGTAACGATTTGGATCGTAACATTGGTCAATATTTATAAAATATATAAGGTTCTTGTGATTCATTCTGCTAACTTCTGAGTTGGCTTTTGATAAAATGTTGCGTTCCGACACTGGACGTAGGATAAAATGGAATGTCGGGTGACCGAAGGTCGGATAATTGGGACCGTATTGTTTAATTAGTAAAGGTTATCATTATGAAATTCTTTCCAGGGAAAAATTATCCTCTACATCATGTACTAAAATACCCCAAATCTGCGTTCTTCTAATAAGACAAAAGAAGTGTGTCTGGCAAGAAAAAGTAATATTTGCTAAGATTTATCACAATGAAAAATAAACACAGTGGATTATTTACAACAGCCATCAAAGGGAGACAGATCTAACTGCGAGGGCTTCCATGTTCGGGCTGAAGACACGGCAGATGATGACGTGCAATCAAATAATAATACCGTTAATTACAATTAAGAAAATAAAATGTAGGATTTGAGGTTTTCACAGCGGTGAGTATGAAGATTTCTGTCTTCTGGGTTGCTGTTGAATATTCATCGCCCTGATGACGGAGGCAGTATGACCTCTGAAACGTTGGTAAACATCGACCAGACTACACAGCGCAACAACCCAGAAGACAGAAATCTTCATAGCGTCGATAACTTAGAAAGAATCGCCCTGATGATGGAGGCAGTATGACCTCTGAAACGTTGGTAAACATCTACCAGACTACACAGCGCAACAACCCAGAAGACAGAAATCTTCATAGCGTAGATAACTTAGAAAGAATCGCCCTGATGACGGAGGCAGTATGACCTCCGAATCGTCGGTTAACATCGACCAGACTATACAGCGCAACAACCCAGAAGACAGAAACCTTCAAGAAAATAAAACTTATCAAGAAAAGTACATGATATTTAGTACAAGATTTTTTATGCCGTGTCTGGTTTTCGGACATCCTGTATTTATTGAACCCATTACATTAATTTTGTACACAGATAACGTTATGAAAAGAAGAGCCATGTTTCTTACTTCTTCACACATGTTCTGCGTCGTTGGCTTGCCTTTCCTTCAGTTCTGTGTGGAAACTCTTCACCACTATTAAGAAGTAGATGCCAATGACTGCGAACACACAATATAATTAATAATTACGTCTTCCTTTTTCTGACACTGAAAAATTCAAGCAAGTTGCTGAAGGCCTACTGTCCACGAGTCACGAGAAGAGACGAGACAGAAGATAAGTGAGAAGAAACATGCGTCTGCCCCAACTTGTTCTAATCGCACAGTGAGTAGCACTACCAAAAACTATTTTGATTCTACTTTCCAGCAGACTTCATATGACGCGCGAACAATACTACTTATGTGAGTACCGCCATGTATTTTTAGACTTTGTGAAATATATAATTACACGACAGTATTTATGGTACAAGATTATAAGCTCCCCACTCAACACTCAAGTTAGTAACACCCCTTTTCGGCTGTACACGACCACTTAGGCCAGTAGGCCCTTCTGAGACGTCGGTCAAATTCCAGGAGTTTACACTCCACAGTATCCCAGAAGGCCGTCATCTTCTTCACAGGATTGTTAACAAATTTCAGAATTCTATTTTGGAAAATAAAAAAAATATGTATCATAAATATAATTTCTGCTTCCTTGTTGGACGTGGACCTATATTAGAACCAATGTGCTTGTCACTGTCTTCGAAATCAATAGCAGTTAAACGACCAGAATGCTGGAGTACTAAAGTGTAATTTAAATTACATATAACTGATAAACTTAAAATTTAAAAGCTGCATAAAAATGTATGTAACCATCTAAAATAAGTAAAAAATATAGGCCTGCAAGAGCATGTATCTGAGAGAAACTGACGGCACAAAGTAATCTGGTTCAGCGAAGGATACGTACTTATGCTAAAGATTCTTTTCCCTATTGACGCCAAGAATTTTCTTGGGTCCAGGAACAGTCTGACTGACATTCCCGACACGACAGCCACCAGGAAGACAATGTTAGCTATAATCCAAACGAGTACCATGGCCGGAACTTCCTGTAAGTAAGAAAAAATCCAACTTTAACTGATTTACAACCACTTTCGTATCGTGTACGCTTTTCGACCGAAGAATTCCGCTACAGATCGCGAACCATCGACATACTATAAACACTGTCTTCACTTTTCTACCTTATTATCAGTTACAAAATAAAGGCAAATAATCGGTTCAGAGTTTACTGGAAAACAATGGCGTAGTGATGAATATACACTTTCATAAATATATTATTTTATTGTCAATTATATTTATTACTATTATTATTGTTTCGACGTCGGTGTAATCATCAGTATCAGTATTAACACCGCCACTAATTTTGTTACCAGTTTTCTTTACTGATTTTCGGTTGTCAGACCTAAGCCGTTTATTGTCTCCCTTACTTTGGCCTTCAAATCTCTACTCGGCGTTTTATCGTACAGTTTAAAATAAGATGAAAATAAATATGATTAAATTAAAATCGTGAAACAAGATATTGAAATATGACACTTACCATCTTGGCTCCTGCTAGAAGCACGAAGCTCACAAGCACGTGCAGGCCAATTATTAATAAGAATGTCCATAACATTCCTGCAAGCAAGTAATTAAATTAAATCTAAGAAAATTAGTATTTACTTCCTAATATAGACGTAATTTCAAATGATAACAGAGATTACGTGTCGAGTACCAGGTAAATGTGGAATATATTTGTGATCATTACGTTTCCCCTTCTAACAAACTTCGACAAAACCTTTCAGTTGATAAACACGTACAGGGTTCACGTAAACTGCTACACACCCGAAGCTTACGACGTACGAGAGCTTAGGGTCTTCTGTAAAGAACGGAAGCACTTTACACAAATTAGGACGTTATGCCTACAAACATTTTCGTTCATTTCCCACGTGTTTACTTTGTGTTTGTTTGTAACAAACTGCATTTCATGTTACACACTCAGAAAACTTTGTCTTTTTAAACGAATTGAAAAAAAGGATTATAAATAAAACGATAGCACAACAATTTATTAAATGATAATAACAAATATTTTCCAAAGCTTACTAGCAGTAATTTCTTCACAAAGCACATTTTTCATACTCAACTTTTTCGGCAGATTTAGACATAATTTGAAATTACTCATCAAATATTTGTGTGGCCTCCATCGTACAAAATATTATAGCACATCTAAATTTGATACTTCTAAGTTTCAATCTTTAATATATCATCTATTATTAACTACAAATCTACAATCTAAAATGTACCTCTTATTATAGGGTCCTTCCCTTTGTCGGGACCGTCCTCGTCTGTGGTAAGTATACCATAAAGATCCATCGAGGAAGATACGAGCAGTAGGAGAGATACTATCTGTAATTACATAAACAGACAACTGTGGAAGAAACCCTTGCATCTTGTTAATAGTTTTAGTCATTTTTTAAGCATTACGCATAGGTTTGGCTACGATATTGTACGCATATCTGATTGGTAGCCACAGGCTTATAATCACGTGTTCTTGCACGTAACGATCGAAGTTTTAACTAAATCCAAGCCAAAAATTTCAGCTTTATACCCTTTCAGTTTTCGCTAAGCCTTCGGCTTCGTAGGTGCTAATGATAATTTTTTTTTTGTAAAGTATCAAAACACTGCACTATCGTCAGAGTAACTCTTACTTACAATGTAGTATGCGGAAATGATAATGCATCCCGTTTTAAGCGAGAAACAGCAGCAGCAACTGCTGACCTTCATCTTCGTTTATTGCCGGCTAGAACAAAATGTTAATTAAGTTGTATTTTTAGACAGCATTTTGAATCGAGAACGCAACAAAGCGTTGAGAAGAAAAACAGGAAATAAAAAATATGTTAAATGACAATGATTTTGAGTAATAATATTAAAAATTTATTAATTGGAGCATTATTGTTCAGAATGAAATAAACGTAACAGAATTATAAAAGTCCCTGATGATGTTTTATCGTAATTACTATTACCGTCTATATCCTCAGGTAAAATTGCGGGAAGCAATTAGGGTTAATAATCAAATCTTCTCAGGCTATCAGAAGTGTAACATTTTTAAAACTTGCCAACGTTTCGAGAACCGTCTCTGTCATCATCCTCAGGGTTATTTATAAATAGCGCTGAAGATAAGACGCGGCTGATACCCTGAGATTTTATTAATAACAGTCGATTATACATCCGTTGAGATTAGCTTTTCCAGCGGAGCATTCTCTTAATCTGGGGATTGAAACCAACCAAATTTACGGAAATTTGTTTTCTCTTTGAAATAATGAGTCTATGGACAAAGTCCATAGACCCAAGTGATATTAATTATAAGAGAAAATTAAATTTATTTGTACCAAGAAAATTACCGTTTTCTGTGATGTAATCTTGTAGGCATTGAGAGATGTTTCAGAGGACTTTATTACCTTCATCACAACCCATGTTTATGATGTATTATGAATCTTCCAGTGTCTAAACAAACCGAAGATAAGTACGTATAGCTGATGCCAACATGAACTGGTAAGAACGTTACCAAATTACACTCATTACTCTTTATAGGAGAATTTGCCGCAATTGCAAGGTGAATAAAGTAGGTTCTCCACTTGTAACAGTTCCTGAATTTTGGGTACATATCGTATGTAGTTACAAATACAAAATATCTCAGTTATGCAACAAAAACAACGAATGCTACTTACCCAGATTCACTGGTCGTTTTATGTAAAGTCAAACACGAAAACGTTCTGCATTTAGACAATAAAATCTTCTACAGAAAGCAAACAAAGAAATGTCGTCCCAGAGAGCGCACTTGAAAATTATATTTGCAATTATATCATATAATCTATAGATTCGTTCACATAATAATTATGTACTTAATTTGCACATGTTTGTGTAATCACATACGCAGATTCATAAATTTCGAGAGTTTGTGTTGTGGCTAACTCAGAGAAATGCATTTCTTCGTTTTTGTATAAGTGAAAGCACCTAAAATATTGACGTAATGGCGACGTGATGTAGGCTGATTCCATCACCCTCGGTATCTGGACCAACGTAAGGCATGCGCAGTGCTTACTTTGACCTGTACAGAGCTTGTTGACGGCCATTGATCGAGGAGAAGCCGAATTATAGTTTCACTTTGTTTTGCTGAAGCAGTGCCTCATAAACTAGGCAACAATTTCAATTTGCGTGACTTTTGCACCATGATAATAACGGTAATCCTCCGACATTACATATTTTTTTGTTATTTAAATAAAAACGCTTCACAACTTTTATTATACATGAAAGTAGTAATTTGTATTTATGATTAATATAACATACATACTGTTATAAAAAACACTTGTCGTAATGCATAGAGTAAAACTTAAATCTTCTGAGAAAGTGTAGACAAAGGGGAAATATGTAAACGTAAAAAGTTTAAAACAAAGTTCTGAAGATCACATTACAGTTCTTCGTGTCTCATATCGATTGGAGTGGTCTTCCCTATTTGACGTTCATCGATTGGCAGAGAGTCCCAAAATTTCTGGTTTCCCAGGTTATCATTTTTCATCATTTCAAATTTGCTAGGACTCTTGATAAACAGAAAACGAAGGTCTTTTTCATTGGATTCAGTTGCATCCCAGTTGAAATTTCTGCTCTTAGGAACAGGATTTCTGAAAATCAAAGTTTGACTTAAAGGCTGGAAAATCTCTGAAGTATTATATTGCAGGATAATATGCAGGATAATATGATCCAATACAGAGCTTAACGTAAAACAATCAATATACACGCACATGCTGATGTGAATTCGCAATGGTCATTTTGCTGAGGGGTATATTGTCATTAAGTTGGGTTAAGTTGTGTTAGGTTAGGTTAGGTTAGGCTTCTTTAGTGACGCGATTGTGCAGAAAACCACGAGCAATTGTAAGATTTTAATGGTGTATTATTATTATTAAGCTGGGTTAGGTAGAGTTAGGCTAGGTTAGGTTCTGATAAGTTAGTTAGTGACTTACATGTATCTCCTTGCCCTTAATTTACGCCAAGTACGTTTATTATTACTGTCTTTAAAAGAAGCGACAGGATGGCGCACCTGTATAAAAAGGAAACACGGAAAAGCCGCTCCGGATAAGATTAAACAGGGGTGTACAAGACTACTCTCCACAAGCGCCAAAACTGCCACTGCTACCCTATTTATTATTTCCGTATTACCTTTGCGTTTTTGGCGGCTAGTAAATCCGTAAACTTCGTTGTTTTTTAAAATTGTGACAATAAAGTTAATGCTAATAATTACACAGTTTAGTGACCTTAAGGGGATAGAATCAATTGAAGAGATGAACGGGGGAATTTATGGAGAATCTCCTCACAAAATAATTGATAAGATATCGAAAAAAAATTCAATTTCGTATGACTACAATAAATTAAATTTACACTTGTGGATATCCAAAGAACAGTCTGATGGTCCTCTTCTGCTGTTGCAGCAATAACACAAAACAAAACTCAAGTTCTAGGTCTACATGTGAAGGAAAAAGAATTACACATTTTTTATCTTTGCATTTAAAACACTCTCTTCTAGGTTTATAGGCTGTCAGACATATTACTTCTGTTCAACTCAATTTATAGTTTTAAAATCTTACTCAGTCTTTGCAAATGCCATCCAGATGTCAAGAAGTAATTCGGACATATTTCTGTCTTCTTCAGTTTCATCTGTTTTAAAGTCAAAATCGAAGATGTACCCTGTGTCATCCAAATGACTCACCCCTGTTGAAGAAAAATCACCGAATTTAATAAATATTAACAAACTATATTTTTGACACTTCCCTATATTTTTTCAGGCTTAAAATGCACATAAACTACTGAACAAAAAGAACTCTATGGTAAAAGAGCTATAGACTTACCAATTCTGTTAGCATAATCAATCAATTCCTTCTTTTCTATTCTCATTGCTTTCCCAGTCATAAAATTAACGTAGCGTGTTTTGAAAACAAGGACACAAAAGGTCAATAACGAGAATATAACAATTAGACTTTAGAATTAAACAGCAATTTAATCTGGATACGAAAATCTATAAATTCTAAAGAGTACAGGTTAAATTATTTGACATCAAAAGTTTCCAGTAGATACATAGTACAATTTTTCTTCTAGTGACATTTACGAGAAATTATACGAAATTATTGTACATTGAAGTGTATACTTCATATTTTAATTCAGAAATTGAAATAAATAAAGTAATAACACGTAATGCAAAAACCTTCTTTTGCTTTAATTACATAGTTTTTGACTTTAGGTACTTACCAAAATTGGTCGTAGTTCCAGACATGATTTCCGAGAAACTGTGTTTCCCTCTGTAGCCAAAAAGATAAAAATACACAGGCGATTTGTTGACAGCAGCTTGCAGTTTGGCAGATTGAGCTCCAGGTAAAAGGAAAAGTCTGTCGGTGCACATCTGGATGTGGAAATTTTCAGATCAGAAAAAGTTAAACTTCACGCAAGGCAACCAACCGTCTCACTAAAAGGACACATGCACTTTCCAACTACATTATACGTACGACACTAACACTAGATCTTATACAAAGATGTCTTCTAGGTTGTACTGCCATGCAGTCTCGTAGAACTTTACGTACGTTTCAGAGGTACTTGATGTCTCCATCATCAGGGCTATCACCGAGAGGACAGCCATCTTTATACTCACCGCCTTGAAAACCTCAAATCCTAATTAGATCCCACGTATTTAAAAATGTTATATTTCCAAAAGCTTTATATTACACAAAATTAAAATTGTTTAAATAAAAACTTTCTAATCAATGACAAATTATACACGAGGTAAATTGAAAATAGCATGTAAATAATCGAAACCAAACCACATTGCCAGAACTTTATTATTCTACACCCACCGCAATCAGGGAATAAATGCCTCAAAACAGTATAAAATGTGTTTGTAAGGTGATGGCATAAAAATGTTACGTGTGAAGTTATAATGAAAGAAGTTTTGATATGTTCAAGGGTGTCAGGCTGATCAAGCCAAATTAGTAGCAAGAATAACTGACAAGAGATATCAAAGGGGGAATGTGAAAGAGGATTAGAGATAAAGGAAGAAGTTTTGAAGATTTCTGTCTTCTGGGTTGTTGCACTGTGTAGTCTGGTCGATGTTAATCAACGTTTCAGAGGTCATACTGCCTACGTCACCAGGGCGATGACGGAGGCAGTATGACCTCTGAAACGTTGGTAAACATCGACCAGACTACACGGCGCAACAACCCAGAAGACAGAAATCTTCATAGCGTAGATAACTTAGAAAGAATCGCCCTGAAGACGGAGGCAGTATGACCTCTGAAACGTTGGTAAACATCGACCAGACTACACAGCGCAACAACCCAGAAGACAGAAATCTTCATAGCGTAGATAACTTAGAAAGAATCACCCTGATGACGGAGGCAGTATGACCCCTGAAACGTCGGTAAACATCGACCAGACTACACAGCGTAACAATCCAGAAGACAGAAATCTTCATACTCACCGATGTGAAAACCTCAAATCTTACGAAGAAATTTTGATTTTTGATTCTATAGTATATTTGTATTGTTCCTATTGTTGATTATCATTCTTTAGCTTCGTATGACTTTTTCAAAGCTACGATTATTTAAATATGGTTATATGTATATATAAGAGGCCAAAATTTAGTGTTATCTTCATGTTTCCTTTGGTTGTCATTACCAAGAAAACCTCATTCTGAAAACAATTACGTCATCAGCCTCCTAAAACTACTTGAAAATTACTAGCAGTACGGGGAGTGACAAGGGACACTGTTCTGGAATAAGGTGCCCTTTGGCAATAATAAGCACTTGACCTGTATGATTTCCTGCGTTGTCTCCGGAGTCACAGGTCGGCCCTGCAAATAGTGATCACGAATCCGAGCCACTACGTATTTCTTTCTGTCCGCCGAGACAGTGTAATTGTAGTCAAAGATGAAAGGAGCTAATTCATCAAATCTCTCATTCAGTTCTTCCAACGTCTTCTCATTTCCAACCCAATCTGAAATTTAGAATAATTAATTTATTACAAGGCTTAGATCAAGCTTCAAGGAAACATTCTAATGCGTCTAGGAATTGTAAATTCACGGTTATAAAACATAATTCAGCTACTGTAATCATTAATACTTTACAGTACTGAAAGCTATCTTATAAAAAAAATAAAAATGAAAAACCATGACAGAATATTGTACAGCGAAAAATGTAAAGAAGTGCCTTCTATTGTCTGATAATTTGATGGCAAACAACACATTTGTATGAAGAGCACTGTGCAGTTACTAAAGAAACAGCGAGTTTATAGTGTTAATGGAGAGACGGGCAATTTACGACCTTGTGGTCTCTCGTAGTCTCTAAGATAGAAGAAAACACACTTCAAGGGTATAAACACTTTATCGATGTCGAGCATCCATATTTTCTTACATTGTAAGTAATTTATTTTTAATTTGATAAATATTTGAAAAAGAAGATCATTGACTTCTGGAGACCAATTAAGAAATTTAATAACAGGCTGGTGAAAACTGTAACAGAAAAACAGCGCATGGCCTCTTAAGACGTTGCTCGTAATTCCTTTTTTGTTTATTAAATAGCTTGGAAATGCAGGTCACACGAAAAGTCGAGACTTAAGAAACTCACTATGCCTCGTTTCGCGTAGACCGATTAGAGGAACATATTAATACTAACCAGCTGCTGGATATAAGCCATCTTCTGTGGTTGCACTTGTGATCCACGGTACATCATGAACTTTGCCCTCTAAGAGGAGATCAACTGGATGTTTAGTCAGGAATGGGTTGGAACCAGCTGTTTCGACAGTCGGACCAAATGGGGAAAATGGATTATACATCCAAACCTGTAGTACAAGGAATATTATTCATAACTTTTGTATAAAAATAGAATTTAAATAATTACAAAATATGTGAAAATTGACTGCGTGGGTGCATTTAATGCGTGAAACAACTAATTTATAAACATATTTTATTACAATTTAATTTTATGATTTTTCGTCTTGTGAAAAGGTGAGTTTTTACCGGACTACACAACCTTAACATGCGTTCTTTACATCTTGACAGCCTGAATAATCAAGATGTAAAAATATAAGTAATACCTGTCCTTGGATCGATGCAGTGTTGAAAGTAAGGTAAGTTAGGTTATAGTTGAAATCCACCAAGAACAAACATCCTTTAGTTCATAAGCCTATAAACCCAGGACTCAATAATTTTGTGTTCAAGTTTACAAGAACTTTATGTATACGGTTCTAAACCTGTATTTATACACTATGATAAATACAAGGCCTGCAAATTTACTTTAATCTGGATACAACTGATCTACCACTCTGAAGATACTTATTTTATTTACCTGGAAATGTTTCACTTGCTCTACAATTTGACGTGCGGGTCTGTTGCGTAGACAGTCCACGAGTTCCCTAGAATTGCCATCATCGCAGCCCAGAAATGCTCCCAGCTTCCTAGCTTTAGCTGGTCCATCCTCCATCTGTGTCCATGGACAGAGTGACGAACCACTCTGTGATATTCCTCTGTTGAAGAGACCTGAGAAACAATGGAGGGCTAGTTGTGCCTCTGCTAAAGGTGACTCTCATTATACAAGCTTTTGCTATCCGCGTCTTCGCATATCCGCGGTATTAGTACCAATTATACAGGTTTCAGTAGGCTATTATGATAATTATGGTTCAAGAAACCTCTTGTAAAACAGAGGAGGAAGTATAGTATTAAAATTATATTGGAAAGAAAACTAGTTTGAACTGGTTAATGGTCAGGTCCGGTGTTCTATGTCAGCTGTTTGGAATGAGTTCTATGAGTAGTCGGTTATAGTTACATTTCTTATTTAAAATTCTTCCCTTAATATGAAAGAAGCCGGAATCCAAACTGTGTGTTCTACATAGAGTACGTTATACGTTTATGATAGTCGTCTAAATATTTAGTGATTTATAACAACGAAACAAAAGCATTAGTAATAACACTTCCTGCCGAGTTTAATGAAATTCGGTGGATTATTTTGAAAGGTGTTATGCAACCACACAGACGAGTGTCTGTGGCACATACCTTTAGACCACTCTGACAGAAAGTGGTAGTGAGCGCTAGCTCCTCCTGCAGACGTTCCAGTAATAGTAACACTGTTCGGATTGCCACCAAATGCTGCAATGTTATTCTTAACCCAACGCAGGGCTGCTGATTGATCTTTCAGTCCCATGTTACCTGGAACTATGTCATCTCCCGTGCTGAGGAAACCTGCAAATCGAGTATCAGTTGCATAAGATGGCTGCCTTCTGGGTTGTTGCGCCGTGTAGTGATTGCCCTGATGATGGAGGCAGTAAGGACCTTTGAAACGTCGGTAAATTTCTATCACGGCGCAACAAATCCTACAAGTATTAGTTGTGTTATGAGATCTCTGCTTCTTACCGCGATGAGTATGCCAGTGGTCGCCTTTTGGCCGCGTGGACTTTGTTGGTAGATTTCAACGTTTTAGAGAAACATATTGTCGCTATCTTTAGATACCTGAAGATAGAGGTAGCATGTACCTCCGAAACGTGTTACTAACCAGAATAGCAACATTAATATCACCTATGTTAATTCAGTCGGTCAGAAAATTCCCGAAAGGAAATTTTGTCTCATATAAACTGGAAGAATTTGAACTAACATATGCTAAATGAAAGAGGAAACGACACACAGTTTGAAAACAAGTTTAAAATATCTTATAATACCATAAGTTTTTATAAAATTTTAAGAATATCTCTCAAATGGTTTAAAAGCTGAAGGGGTGACACACAACAAGTTTGATGATACAACTTTAATGACATCACATCGTGTCCTTGCGTAATTAGCTCCACTAAATATAACATTTCGAAGTAACTACCACATTTAACGCGACGTTAAATGGTTCGCGTCACATTAATATCCAAGTCAACTTTTCGGACACTTGTAAACAATCTGAGGAAGAATTACTTACCCAGTGGTCCAAGTCTGTACGTGACCGTGACCAAAACAGCATCTCGGTCCATGAGAATTTTTGGTCCATATTCATGACCCCATCCATATTGCCACGCCCCGCCGTGGAAGTAAACGAACACTTCCAGATCTTGTGAACCATCGTATGATGGGAGCTGAAGGAAAGAATTTTATGTGAGATTTCAGATTCTATTAGAGACCTTCTTCAGATGCTAACAGTAGCTCAGCAAGGCAAGATAATTCCCACTTATACCCACTGAAACAACACACCTGTTATCGTGTTTACAACAGCTCGTCATTTTACCATATCTTGAGACAGAATAATACAGCGCCCACAGTCTTACACATTGTTTCTGTGAAATCCAGTTTAATATTATATTCCTATCTTTCCTATGTCTTCCGAGCGGTCTCTTTCCTTGAGGTTCTTCCACCAAATTTATGTTCGCATTTTTTATCTTTTCACGAATACTGCATGCACCGTCTATCTCATTTAATCATGTTAATATTTGTTGAAGATTACAAATAATGGAACTTTTACTAACGCAGTTTTCTCCAGCCTCTCTTTGCTTCCTTTATCTTAAGTTCTCTACACTCCATAAAGTGGTCGCTGAGATGGCCAAAAGTCCCCACACTTTATGGAAACAAAATGCTTATAACATATTGAAAAGAGCCTCTCACTGGATATTCTTCTAAGACAGTTGAATTCAAACCACTGTATCATCTATACCTTTTGCGGAAACATTTTTATACTTGAAAGAAAATTAGAAGTTTAAATTTTCAATAAAATATGGTCTGCCAGTGCTAAACGACCGATAACATTCAAAGCACATTTTCACACGGATTCATAAGTACAACCCCAAAAATTATCATAATTTGTGTTAAGTGCTCACTAGCGGAAAGTTATTTATATCGGAGACAATGACTGTAAGAAGTTTGTTCTAAAGTTTTTCGTAAAGAAACGACAACAAAATAATTACATTATACAAACATTATAGAATGCCCTCTGTGAGAGCATATATTATGTGAGTAACCATGGTAATGTCTTACTCACTTTCGGGGTGTACACATTCAGAAAGAGGCAGTTTTCGTCTCCTGTCAGGGGGTCTTGAATGCCGTAGTTTCTAGGATGCACACGGTTCTTCTGAAGACATATGCTTCCAGGAGCGCTGGCGTACCATGTACCTTTCCATGGTTCAGGATTTACAGGTTCCTTGGCAAAAAGCTTTTATCAGTACAGTCCTCTCACACGTTACTTTAATTTTAAAATTTATTTTCAAAACGTACTAAAAATAAACGAATAAAGAATAGAGGTGTAAATCTCGATGTTATGTCTGTGAAAATGTTGAATGAATATCGATTAAATTTATTACTTCACATAAATTCCGATGAAAATATAAAAAAAGGTACAAAACTAACATGAAGATTTCATTATCATCTGTTAACTAAATTTCGAAAACACTTTGACATGGTAAATATTTAACGAAATGTTAGAAGAATATTTTCTGACCTATGCGGTGTGATAATCTGCAGTATGATTAATTTTGTGCCGTTGCGTTTGTATATGCAAATATAGAATATGATGGATAGTGAGGCAAGCAAAATATCAAGAGCGAAGTTTGAAAAATATGTACTTCGCTGCCCTTTCATTTTTGATAGTTACGATGTACAACGATTTACCCCGCGAGAATGGACTCAGAGTGACGAGTCGGACGTTAATTACGTCGAGTCACTCTCACCTACAACGCAGAAGTTCGCTTTGTGCACTGTCTAGAAAACACAAAAGTATAAAAACTTGTACCGTTCCCATGTCCCAGTACACCGCTTTATTGAAATTGTCCAAACGTTGAGCACACAAACTACAGAAAGTAATTAAGAGATTGGCAGAATACGAACCACGTTTCAGAGCTATGTTCACAATTGTATTCTACTTACAAAATAAGGGAACTTTCTTTTGAAACGCACCTCATATTTGACATATAAGCCTGTATACGTAATTATATCTCATTAGGTGAGGTTTCGCTTTATCACGGCGGCGAGTATGAATATTGCTGTCTTGTGGGATATTTCGGCTTGACTCTTGTGGAAATTGAATGATATTTAAAATATCCTTCATTTTATACCAGAATACACCTTAATACGTTTACATATTCTATATCAATTCACGCACTTATTGGTATGCAACCTCGAAATTGTATGAAGTATACAATTTCGAAAATCCATATCAATTTGGTTTTGGATCGTACCCACTCATCTTACCTTAAACCTGAGGTCTCCAACCGGCGGCTGTGCGTACGGAATGCCTTGGAAAGCAAAAAACCGTCTTCCATAACGAGAAACCATAAAGGTCCCCTGTAGTCTCCCTTGCTGTATGTTAACAATTGGTCCCTCTTCGCAGGACACAACAGCAACAATCAGCAGTAGTATCAGCCCTGTAGATATCATGTCTCTTTCGCAGACGGAACTCAAATGACGCTTTAATAAGCGCACGTCCGAAATCTAAATGCTGAGAGAGATCGCGGAACGCAAACGCGATATGCGACGACTTACCCCAGACAGACTCAAGGAAATGAAATTACTGGATCTTGACGAAACTGGAGATTATACATGTTTTCAAATAACTTCACACTTATTCGATAAACAGAATTACTTCAGACAACAGCTTGTCCTTGATCAATGGAATATAGCTCACTCAGCAGCAAAATTACTCAACAGCTACAAGAAAATAAACAAATTACACTGTGCAAAATTATAGACATGTTTTTATTTAAGTTAGTAGCTATATGTAAAATAAGTGCTTGAGTCTATTACAGGTGTCAGAATTATAATTGCTAACAGCTACAGATGCCTACTAGGGTGATCCTCAGAATTGTATGTTTGAAATTTATTCATGGTACCCAATAGTGTTCTTTTTAATTAGTTATTTAGTGTTCTGTCTGACGACAGGTCCATATGAACAGGATCCTTCCATCCTTTTCTCGGACTGGGACCTATTCATATACGTTCTTGGCAGATGATCCAGAAGTGGTTTGCCATTGCCTTCTTCTGTGTGTGAATGGAGTAATTGTTGGGATGCCACGGGGAAACCGGGGAAGCCCCCGGAGGAAAACTCCGTGATACCTAGACCACGGCCTTGCCCAACACAAGTTATAAATCTGAGCACCACCGGGAATTGAACCCGGGACCCCAGGATTCCAAGGCCAGCGTTCTAACCGCTAGACCACCGTGGCGCGTTATAGTGTTCTTATAATCTACAAAGTAACATCAATGTAATATTCCACCTCCATTAGACACACACAGGTCTCTTATATCGACTAAAAAGCTTATAAATATGCAGGAGGTCGTGATTTGTAGAATTAAATATCATCTTCTTGAAATGAACTGATATTTTATTCAGACAAACAACAAGCACATAAACACAAGAAACAGAACATAATAAATTATTACACATGTCAATCACTAGTGACCTTCTGAACTTTACGTGATAGCTGCAAGCAAATGAGTTGCGATACGTTTGGAGTCAGTTACACTGTAGTTAGTTCAAACCAGAGTGAATTTAAAAATCTCCGATAAATAATACTAACGGATCTTTGTACTTTGAGATTTTTAAGTGGCACACTGAAACGATCTTCTTGTGTCTTAAGAATCATGGCGTTAACACGCGCAATCGGAAACAAGTTGTAAAGTTTATTTATAAATGCAAATTCATTTGTCATCTAAGTTCTAGCCTGATTTTAAATTATATTTTTTTCTATTGCTGCTTTATGCACGCACCACTCTGTACCAGAATAACTGAACCAGATAAATCCAGTCATACACATTAAATATTAAAATTATACGAAGAATGTAAAAAAATTAAAATTAATTGTTTTAATAAATATAAGCTATTGTTAAGTACTAATCATAGTCAGACCATACAATGGCTGACAAATTGAAGACTAGTAGAGTAAATTTTGGAAATTTTCTCCTGAAGATCTGATGGCGATGATGATAATAATGATACGTACGTAATTTCATGCAACATTTCGTTTCCGGGTCTGCTAAGTATTGCCTTAATACATAAATTTATTACAGTAACAATATAAGAAATTATTTAAGTATCATTATAAACAAAGAAAATCTCTTAAATCCCCAAAATATGTCCATAATAATTCTATTAAACTCAAATGAAACTTGTTACTGCACAAATCGTTGGTCTCCATAGCTCTTGAAGAAGGAGTATGATTTGCTCTCGTAAAACCCCACTGGTATCTTGTCCGCCTTGCCAATGTAGAATTCGTTAACAACCACGAGAAAATACAGAGTCAGCACTGAAATGCCACAAATAAATCACAGGTATACTCGCCAAACACGTCTCAGTCTGTGAGACATTTGTTAATCATTAACTCTTACAGGCTTGGAAGGAAAACGTACCGCAATGTGACCACCGAAGATTACGTGTTGGAGAACAGCATAATGTACTTTGCCTTTAATGAGACTGTCTCTACGGATTTCTGTTTTCAATTAAGTGAAATGTATTCATCTATAATTTTAATTATCATATTTCCTCGATAACAAAATGCCCATATTTGACATTTAAAGATTTCAGAAATCGGGCGTCATACATTTAATGGTGTCGAAGAACTATATTTTTTGACTAAAGTGGAAGGAAAATCTTTATACCTATAACACTAGTCATGGGACAGTATACGCAGAGATAGCAGTAAAGAAGATTATTAAACTATGAACACAAAGAAGTTTTATGTTGAATATTGACAATTCCTATTGTGATATATGTGTCATTTTCCTTGGACAATCTATTAATGAATTCATGGCGTCATAATATATAGGCTTATTGTACAAATCTCTGATTACATTTATTGTACAGATATCTACTTGTAATTAGGTTGAAAATACAGATCTCTACTTACCGATGTTCATAGCAGTACCATAAATTGAGATATTCTTCTGTAATTCATCCGGCAGTTCCAGAAACATGTTACAGAAGCAGACCAAGATGTGTATTCCAAGAATGAGGACATGTGCATTAAGCCACACGTATATCCAATGTGACTTATCCTGTATCAACAAATAATACGCATATTTTTCTATTGTGGGAATTTTCCACGAAACAAAATCTCAAAAGGAGAAAAAAAAACATAATTTTCACATACGAATTTGTATACACGATTTATATCCAAAAGGTATTGTTTTCGACCCAGACTACTTTGTATTATAAGTACCAGAAGCAAGGGGCAATGTACAAGATAATTCATAAAATCGAAGCTTTTATGTACAAAATATAAATTCCAACATCAAAGCGTACTACGGACTACTAATCATATAATAGTGAATAATGGTGTAACCATTTTCACGTTTATTTTTGTCTGAGTGGTCTATTGTTAGCGTTCTAATACAGTATTCAAGAAGTATCGGTTTTTATCACAATATTTTCCAATAAACTTCATATAAAATTAACATATTTTAACATAATGACAACACCTTACCTGAGATGAAAGCGGAAATAACTGACAAAAGGTAGCGTAGAATCAAATATACTTAAAAGCAATGGAAAATGTCCATCATAATATTGGTATAATAAAAGAATGTGTCTAACTTAACGTGATTATAAAACACAAAAGGTTTTAATTAATTAAAGAAATCGACGAAGTTAGAATTCGATTTCAAGTGGGCTTAAAGTAGAAGCAATATTACACTGACTCGGGGTAAAATTAAATTCATCTACGCCAAAGCCCTTGAGTAGCTTCGAATAAGAAATACCTGACGAGGAAGAATGGCCCATTCATTGGTCCTTCATTTGGCAACCCCATGTGCATGAAACTTGTAAACATTTCAGAAACAAAGTGCATGAACTGGGCCAATGCATTTTAGTGTACGCTTGAAACAACTGAGTTACTCAGAGCACACTAACCTCAGTGACCCCGACAATCAGCAAGATGTTTGTTACGAAGGAAAGTATACTTGTTGAGATAATGCCAATCAGCAGGACTTTAGCAGCTGAAATGAGAAATGTGATATGTATTAATTAAAATATCTTACAAGACGAATATATTACAAGAAAAAATTATTTAATCTGATATAATGATCAAATTTATACGTAATATATTTTGTTTCATCTCCTAATACTTATCGAATACATTCGTTTAGAGATTCACCATGTTAAACTTTTACGAATCCACTAAAAATTTAATGCTTAATTTGTAGATGGCTATTTACCAGCCCTCGTCGCGTTTTAAGTGGGATATTTCATGAGGTAGGCTTATTTCGTGTTTGTTTCAGGCCTGCGAAGTCTGTAACACATTTTGTGACAGGGACGCTCGAACGAGGAACTTTCTGGTTTACATGTTGTTCGGATAACGAAATTTAAGAAATCAAAATGTGTTATGTATGTAACAGGAGGAGGTCTATAGAATTTTAGCCAGAAAATTTCAAGGGTAAACCCGTTTGAGTGGCAGAGAATGAAATGTGAGGATACTAATGTAATTTAAAATTATTCGTTGTCAGGACTTTTTCCATCGTCTGTTTTTTTTAAAATCACGACGTTTCGGAGGCTGGTTCTGTCTCTGTCTTCAGGTAAGAGGTACCTACTATGTTGGGTTCCTTAGATAGAGCTAGTCTCTGTCACTGTCCAATAGAGTAGGTACCTCTCACCTGAAGACGGGGACAGAACCAGCCTCCGAAACGTCGTGATTTAAAAAAAAAACAGACGATGGAAAAAATCCTGACAACGAATAATTTCAAGTGTAAACTACTGTCGCCAAAAGTCTTCAGAATTGGTAGACTAATGTAATATTATTAACGTGATCGAATCAGAGATGATGAGGTTGGAAGGGCATGAATAGAGCAAGGGACCATGAAAAATGTGTACAAATATTTTACTGGAAAATTTGAAGAGAAGAGACCACTCGGAAGACATAAAGGTAGATGGGAGGATAATGTTAAAATAGACCTTAGATAAAAGTGCACGGTGTATATATTGGATTTATGTGGCTCATGGTACTGACTGGTGCCGGACTCTTGCGAATACGGCAATAAAACTTCCGCACTACATTTTTTGAGAAGGAATCTGTTTCACGGAGTTAGTTAATTCTAACCTTACTGATACCTAGTCGGTTAAGTCTGACATAAAATTAATCACTGTCACTATTTTCCACTCAGTAAGTAGAAAATGAAGCACGCACAGGTTATTCCCTCCAGAAGGACATCGTCTCCGACATCGGCTTCTTTTCTTCCGCTTTCTGTAGTCAACATATTGTCCGGTGTCAGGAGGTTGTAGCCGATGGAGGCAAGAACGGTTGCGATAATGGAAAATATCTGAAATAAAGACAGAGGACCGTTACAATTCCCCGACTTAAGAAAGCCACTCAAGAGATAACGGAGTAAACATTCTGTATTACAATTCGATTATCCTCGCTAATTTCGTGTTAAGTTACAGACAACATAAGAAACTCGTAATACTTACCATTAAAATGTGTTTTGTGAATGTAAGGCAATCCAAGACCAGTTCTAACATTCGAAGTTAAATTGCAAGTTTTTAAATATTAAGACAAATGAAAGATTTTGTTTTATTAAAATTAAACTAAACTTACATCTCTCAGCGTCTATTACCTTCCCAATGGATTTGTTTTCTTAAACTTATATGTGAAATGTAGATAAATTCTGCATCACTATTGACCCAGCCATGTTTTTATTATCCGATAACAATGGTAATTGTTTAGGCTAATATTCACAATAATTTTTACGAGAGGAGACACGTTAAGATTATTTCATGATTACAGTGAAAGTTATTAGATGTGATTTAATATCGGCAATCGAATATACCGTATTTCCTCAATTTTAAGCCTCCATCGATTCTGAGACGCCGTAAAATGTGAGACACGCTCGGATTTCAGAAAATTTAAAATGTGAAAAAAGTGCATCTTAAATCGAGGAAATACGGTAAATGAAAATACTTAAAAATTAATTTGAAATTAATCATATAAATTTGTACAGGAAAGTACACATATTCCTTATAATTATAATCTCTTATAGAGTCAAGTCGTTGAGAAATTAATAGTCACTCAGACGGCAAACACATTAAATGCATTTTATAAAAGATGAAGGTTACTTGTGTTACAGAAGTGTTCCGGCCCATTACTAGACGAATCCAGTCAAATTACACATAAAATTTAATAAAATAAAATTGAAAAATTTAAACAGATCTATGTATTTAACTATACATTCAAGTTTTACCGATCATTTATAATTAATTTGAAATAGGCCAAATTAATGCTTCAACTGCTATGTTTTTTGCAGTTTTTACAGAAATGGAAACTCTAATTCCTGCAGCAGTGTAGCGCCTGCCTGCTCTCGACATGTTACTGATCAATACAAAGGCGTAATTATCCCATATTCTGGCTTCCAACAGTCATGAACGTGTTGATCGTCCTCTGCACACTCGCATGTGGTGTGTGCCTTGGACGACAGATAATGGCACACCAATTACTTACGATGTAGTACATAATAATCAAAAGGCAAGCTGTTTTCGGCGCCAGACACATACAAGATTTCCAGTTGACCTCCATTAAGAAATCGCTTGTGTCACCTGTGGCGAGAAGACGGACATAAAACCATTACTTTGCTGTCCCTACCAATCACTTATTTGTCATTAATCAAACGCGAAGAAAAGGAAATTGATGTAACAATATCCTATGACAGCTGGTACTGACGTATTCAATTTTGCGATCACGTTAAGTACATCTTGCAGTTGTCTTATTATTATGTTTCTTTACCAATGTCGTACTTCAGTCTTATGTTAATATTTTTCGTTTTTAGAAAGATTTTTCCGAGAGTAATTCGAGTCTTCATATGGAAAAATCCATATTGATAATGGATGCATTTTCATACACTGGAAACTGAGTACACATATGTAATAATTGTCTTATTTATTATGTTATGTATATATTTGGTCTTGATGTTCATTTACCAACAATGAGAACAAAATTATTGTCCTTACGTTTCGTTAAATGGAAATAGAATGTCGAATTTTTTTTCAAATTAATGTCATGAATATTTACATTACAAGATGTTTTTATAAAATTGATTTGTTTGATACGAGCTTCACGTAATATAAATTAAGACTAAATAAACTGTATGTTCTGTATTAATTCCTTATGAGAATAAACATCTTTGAGGAAATCGATAAATTCCGATTGACATTTATGTAAGGCAAGTTAAAGTAAAATTAAATTTGGCCGACGAGTTTTATAATCGACTTCCAACAACACTTTCATTCCAATGGGTTTAGCAATTTCGGAACTAACACAGACGGAAGTACAAGACCAACTTTACGAGTCTCCACTTCGAAGAAACGCATACAAATTACAGCCCATTACTAAATTTACCCATGAAAAGTATTTGTGTTTCTTCCTTATCTTTGCCGAGAGTAGGGGGTCTGAAGATTCATCGGAAAAGCATAATGGTTAATAATGATTCAACTTTTAATGGCCCTGAAGATTGAGACCAAATATTCCTCCGAAACACTGGTAACTATCTATAAATTCACATGACGCTACAACGCAAAGACGAACATTAATGACTCCACAGATAATCACAAATGTCTGTACGGAACCGAAAAAAATATTAATTTTTATTGATTAATTAAGCTGATAGAATCAAAATTATAAAATTCTAATGAAATTATAGGATTAAGTTCACTTATCTTTTTCCCGCTAGGTAGCCACTGATTTCAACTATGCGAAAAACTTAAAACAAACCAATGTCTTCTTGAATATTTCTTCGCCCAACTATTCACGATGCACACCTTTTCCCCAGGGAGCGCAACTACGAATGTCTGTGTGTACTGGAACGCAATACCAGCCTGGGGGCATATATTCCCTATAATTTACTTTTTCCGACGTCACACGACGCGAGACACATTAATTCTACACTGACAGTCATTTTAACGTGTAGGTATTCTGATATGTTGTTTCATAACGACCTATTATATCATAAATTATATCTGACAACCAATATAAACTAAGCATATGTTGTTAATTTATTCACAACAGCATTAAAAGATACATTTATATGTGTGTTATTGTAGACACTGAAATTAAAAGTTATATTAAGAAGTTAAATTTACATGGTATTGTCAGTTCTGTGTTATTGTAGACACTGAAATTAAGAGTTATATTAATAAGTTAAATTTACATGGTATTGTCAGTTAGTTTACATGAATTTTTGTTAAGTTAATACTTCGATTATTTGCAAGCATTTCAGGAAGTAAGGAATAAGACTTGATTTATGCTTAATTAAACAATTTTCATTCAAAAATATTTTAACTTAATACTTCCTCAAAAACTCACTGAAGGTTTCAATTAATTCTTTAAAATAAGTTATTGACATATTTCAAACTGCAGTTATACTTTTTCAAAACGCAATTAGAACTGGAATATGTCCAACAGTTTTCATATTGAAATGTAAATAAAACCAAAATTATAAAAAAAATAATATTCAGGAAATTTGTACAAACGAAGAATAATGTTTTAACAAACACAGTAGTCTACTAATTCACAAGGAAATAATGTTTCCTACCTTCCAATTCAGCTGTCGAGACGCCACTGCACAAACTGACACCCTGCTCGTGAGAATGGTGTATTAATTAAATATTAACGAACAGTTTTACGCCGAGGCAAACAGCTTGTTGCTACAGCTAGGATCAATATCATATATGAGACATTATACTGAAGCCAGTCAACATAAATATAATCATAAACGAGAGGACACAGTCCGTATAAAACATACTGCTTCACGATGCCATACAAAACCTCCAATTTCTTAAAGTTCTGTCAATAAATAGGGAACTAAAACACGCGAGCATGATAAAACAGTTTCTGAGTGATATTTGGTGATTATTCTGTGTTTGGTTTTGTTCACAGTTTTAATGCCAACTTGGTGAAACAAAGGTTATGGTATAGATAATCCGCCTTCGCTTATCAGAGTAATGACACCAAGGTTTATCGTTTCAATGTCGTTCTGTACAGACCTAGTATATTTATAAAATTCGCATCTCACAAATCAATGTTAAATTGATAGAAGAGAATACTGGAAGAAATTTCACATAATAAAAATACTAGGTTAAAAATTGTATAATTACGTCAATATATTTTCGTAATCTTCATGCGTTCCATGACACGAAGTGAAACACAATACAACCGGAGTTATAAAGAACGGACCTACTGAAAGAAATGCTTATGGCATGTCATGCCAAAAAATGTGTACATTTACAACCTTCTGCCATAGAATAGCCCATGAAACATAACTGATGTTCATAGACGCACACAGCAAGCGACTTCAAAAATAACTGGAAAGATGGCGAAGAACTCTAAGAATGTGTGCATGGATTTTTCCGCCATTTTAAATTACCAGCATCGATTTTATGAATCTGAATTTAAATCGTTGGGAACATCTAGAAATAATTTACTGGACAACAAAACCCTTAAGATCCGTAAATAGTTTTTCCGATTTCATGTCATAAATGATTGATTTCACACAGTGTGAAGCCGTTACTAGAACTACGGTACCGCTCAAATGTAAGTTATAGACTATAACATCTTTGTGCGGGTATTAGACAGTTGTGTGTGAGGAGAGATTTGAACAATTTCTAGGTTTTGCACTCAGTATAAACTTGTATGTTTCATTAAAATATGTCCACTTATCCAAGACCATTAGGGTGTGCAAATACACGAACACACGAACGTTCGAGAAAGATGTTATCATAATCATATTTCCTTTATAGCAAAAGTAATCTAGGCTAAAAATGCTTATTTCTGGGAACTCCTTGTATTTTAAAACGTTTAACATGTGTGATCTTAAACTTATTATTATATTTGTAATTTTCCGTGTATGACCATTGTCAAGCATTACTATTAATGTTTATTATTATTATTATTAGTGCTTAATAATATATCGTCAGTTCTCATATTTGGCTGGGTCAGTAACATGGACAGATCAATCCAGACCAAATATTAATTCAATCTTGCAAATCTTCAAGAAATGTTTTTTGTAATGTTACGTTGTGTTACAAGTATGGCTGTCTGTGTGCGTATGTGTTTTATTTATGTGAAGGAAACAGATAACCCTGCAATAGCCCTGTGATCGCTCGATTTACAAAACATGGTTTAACAGCAGACCGATGTCTTGCTTAAACGAAACACTTTCTTGTTATTACCGTCAAGGGTGAACTTTCATTGTCTTGTCCAGCGTAAGACAACACGAATACCTATTAAATTTGAACCAAACTTTTGGAAAACTTCCAAACACATTTCATTCAAGGATTTTCTAAATTTATTTTACGTATCCCCCTTATATTTTTGTTGGTTTAGAGAACATTCCCGGATGTTCTAAATCAAACTCACCTGAGCCCCGCTGTGTGTCAGTCTGTCATGATAATTCCTCAATACTACGCAAGGCAGCGAGTCGGCCAGCCTGTTGCTAACTGTACTATACCTATAATTTATTATAGCCGCCATATTGTACCCATTGGCACTTTTAATCTATTGGTTTACTTGTGTGTTATTTACGTACTGATAGGTTGATCAATAGCCACATGGCAACAGTGTTGCCACATATAAAGAACTGCACACTGACCAATTATGCACTTTGATAAACGAAGCTGCCATAATTATCACTTTACTACGCCTTGGATTTTAAAATTCTTCGTGAAAAATTAAAGAGATAGCACAAAGGTGCAATTTTTAAATTTCACAAATGTTCGTACTCATTCATAAGCACTATTCAAACTGTGTAAGTTAAAAAATACTGGAAAATTCTACTTCCTGTAGATATTAATAATCTCAAAAAATTCACTCCAAGCAAAATGTTGTTCTTGTATTTCACAAAGCTGATGCCTTGGAAGATTTCCATACGGACTGAACATTAAGTTATGAGATTTAAACACCAGTAGCTTTTAGCAGTTATTCCTCCAATTTCGTGTTATATAATAATTTCAAGTGTTTTGTAAATTGTATCATGTTATGGTCCCTCTTTTCCTGTAATTATGTAGCATTAACAGCTACGCAATGTAAGTTTCTATAAAAAAGGAGACACGCACTTTATTAAATCTTCAAAGACTAGTGGTAATTATATGTACCACCTGCATTAAGAATAAATAATTATGAGTTTTGACCACATTATATTTATAGAATTCATGTTATTGTTAGAGTAAACAGCAATCATTTCCTTAAACAAAATTAACCAGTTAATCTTTGTAATTTTTATGGGTTGTATTTTCTTTGTGGTAAGAACTGGATATTTAAATATTATTAAAACGAGCGTCGGCTTCAAGGGGTTACAAAATCATATGTTGTTACGTATTTGCTACATACTCAACCAATTATGTACACATTAAGCCAATGACTGGGGGTTTATTTTGTACGCAATAGCAGTACAAGGTTAAAGGTTTGACATTTCCAAATACAGGGCTCATAAAATGCATTTCAAATTCACCAGTCACTTAACATGTCCTCGCCCGTAAACAGAAAGGTGCTTCATATAAACTGTCTGCAAAGTATCGGTAGTGTTTCAGACTCAGCTGATTATTAACAATTAAGTGATATAAACACGAAATAAGCGTGGAAATAAATTAAAATATATGAAGTTTACCTGTGTTGTTGGCGAAGTTCAAACGGGCTCCATTATTCCCTTGTAGACCTTCATTCCGCATTCAGATTACTGCTATACCAATATTTGGATCAGATTATCAACTGGGTCTTTGAGTTTTTACTTACAATGGCCAATGTATCGATTTTAACACTCGATGTTTATCGTAGTGCCACAGACAAAAGTCTTGCAGAGTAAGGACCGAAAATTGAGATGATTATCTTTTCAAACCGCCTCTTCCAAAACGGGTGTCCTGAAAAATGCTCATCCAGACTTGGATTGAGAAATGATGAACAACATTTTAGTTATTTTTCATATTTATCTTCAAGTTAGCGATACCGTTTAAATATGGGAACTGTGGAAGTTGATACGGGATTAAAATCTACGCCACATTTCCAAGATTTTCAACTCTTGTCGAAAAAAAAATTAAAAAAAATATGAATAAAAAATTTCAGGCTTAATTATATTTGTACGTACCTTAAAATGATATAATGGACGAGAGCATAAAAGGGACACATTTAAAACAGTTAAAAAAGGTTGACTAAATTATACATACATTCTGAAATAAACTGCGAATAAAAATATGTTCCAATAACTACAGCACGGCTATTCAGAAAGCCACTGAATGGAATCGATCGTGTTCTGTTTACATTATGGTGGAAAAGAGCACGCAATTTTGCCCACCACTTTACTTAACACGTACCATACTTATGGCACCGATCCATTACTCTAATTCGCTTTCAGAGCTCATTTTGTATAAAATAACGTTCATATTGAAGGTTCAGAGCTGTTTCTTAGGAATCCTTTTAGAGAACTGCGTGTTTTGTGTCTATCTGTTCTTTTATCCAATTGCAAACTTGAATATTATGTACACTACTCGCTCAATTTTAATAAAAGTCTTACACGAATAGAAAGGAGTTGGAAACAACTTTTCACTAAACCACTGAACCTTCCTTAGACCTAGGGCCACATTCACACTCGATTATCGACTAGCGGTCCACAAGGTTATAAATTAAGGCGAATTATCGAAACTTAATGCCAATCTATAAATAATGGTACTAATTTACTATTACTATTACTCTGTTGTTGACTGTCTTCTGGGATGTAGAGATTTTGTAGTCTAATAGAAACTGGCCGACGTTTCAGAGACGTTTACGTAAATATTTTTGATCATGTAGAAAGACAGAAAGCGTCAGAGGGTCATGAGAATCGTGATTTAAGAAATCCTGCTATAGATTTGCCTCCCATTAGCAATATTCCGATCGTGACACTGAAAAAATGGCCGAATTTGATGTAAGATGTCGAAGTTGAAAGATGAAATGTCTGTGGGAACTCATGAATCCATTTTTAGGGCGTGATCACGAAATATTTTACAGTAGAAATAGGTTTCCATGTAGTTCACAGTTTTCCGTTTAGATGGCGCTGGTTGCATGAAATACAGCGTTTGGGCAGGAACTCGGCGAGTGTGGTTCGGTGATGCAAAAATTGCTACGTTCCTCATATTTCATGGCGTTGGTTGAACGAAGAAAATCCGATTGTGATTACTAAGTCTTTGAGTCGATATAAAACTTGAGCAGACACAAATTATGTGTCGGAAAACAAATGCAGCGAATCGTCAGACAGGTATATTAATTTTAACTCTCAGAATGCGGAATACTGTTCTTGATATGTTTGTAGGTTTAATCCCACGTGTTTAGTCAAGTTTAAATTTATTATTTCTATATCACAGGTACAATTGCTGACTCAAATAAAATCTAATACTCCAGTACCGCGGATTGAGGTCTTTAGCGCCGTGACGCCATGTAGATTTGTAAGTGGATAACAGCGTTTCGGAGAAAGGTAACACCTTCTTCTTCAAAGAATTGTGCCCTGAAGATAGTGACGATATGTACCACCTAGAGTGCAAGGAGTCAACGCCACGGAAATCTTAAATCCGATACAAATCTAAAAAACATTGCCTAGAAAGCAAGAGTCCATGCCTATGAATTTCCAAATTTGTTATATAAGTGCTTAGAGACTACACAAACACATCATCAACATCGTTTTCGTCGTCGGCAACACGTGAATGGAATTGGCACAAAGTGGCCCACTTTGGTCTCATTCATTGTCTTTCAAGACTGTGCTACTCTGTTGTCTTCCTTAGGCTGACAGTTCATGAATCCTTTTGAGAGCTTGTAGTCTTGCGTTTGGTGAACCAGATTATTCTTATAATCACTGAATTATTCTTCCAAATCAGTCACTAATTCTTGTAGCTTTTTACCCCTCACTTTTGTGGTCCACAACATCTGACAATAGACAGAAAAAAGGAATGGAAATATTAACTTTGAAACGTTTAACATACGTGTCAAACATTATTAGACGTCGTGTTCCTCATATATCATAGAATTCGATATTATCTACTATGGACACAAATACAATGTAGCAAAGCAAATCACACACAGGTTCAAACATTTTTCTGAAGGGCATATTTAAAAATTAATAAAACAGATTAGATTCCTAGAATTATTCGCTTACTCTTATGTACATGTACAGGCTTATTAACAATTAATTAGGCTAGTTACACACAGAATATGGAGTGTCGATATTTAATATTAAATTAATAATTTAAAATATTGTTAAATGGCTTTGCTGCATAGCCCCAAAACAGACAATGTCCTCACGGCTTCCACATCTCTGATGCTTGCCTTTACGAGAAGCAGCCTGCGTACATTCAGACCCTACCCCTACCTTAACAAATCGCGTTTCTAGCTTCCCTCTCCACCCTTCTCTTCTCTCTTCGCGATTTAAAGATGCTGCTTTAATAAATTAAGGTTTTACTAACATGAACATTGCTGTCTTCACTTCAACACATCGTTCTAAATGTAGGGAAGAAATACCGCAAAGATTATTTCAGTACAAATAACATTTTAGAACAACTCAGCATAAATAAATCAATTTGGGGAAAAAATAGCCAATGGATGAAGATGATGATAATAATCTCTGAGCTACAGTACAAAATAAATTACCGGAAACGAAGCTGAATAACTTTAAGCTCAAAGCAATCGTTACACCTCTGCGCATTAATATTTACAAGATAAAACGAGGCCAGTGTTTCTCCAGACACTCCTTCTACCCTCTGCTCTTCAATGGGGAAACATTTTTCAAGTAATTTTGCCACAATAAGAGGCATACCTAAGTCTATGTTGAGGACATGCCTCTGATGTCTTGCGTCTGAAATGGTTCACAGTCGCTGGCGTAGGGCGGCGGTGAAGGGTCAGGGGGCATCGGCGGTGGGGGGTCGATGATAAATACGATTGGAGGCACTGGATCGTCGCGAGGTGCAACTTGTCTGCGGTCCATTTGGTGATACAAGCTATTCACCACAATGATGAAATATGAAGTTAGCACTGCAAAAGATAAACATGAACTGATTTTTCATCAGGACAAAGAACAGTCTGAAGATTTTATAAAAATTCGTAACAAAGAAAACACTCCAGTAAGTTAATGACAGCAAAAACGGGCACTTATATTTTCCCAACTTAATTATTTTTAGAATAGTCCTGTCTTCTGGGTTGTTGTGCTGGGTAGTCTGGTCGATGTTTACCAACGTTTCAGAGGTCATACTGCCTCCGTCATCAGGGCGACTCTTTCTAAGTTATCTACGCTATGAAGATTTCTGTCTTCTGGGTTGTTGCGCTGTGTAGTCTGGTCGATGTTTACCAACGTTTCAGAGGTCATACTGCCTCCGTCATCAGGGCGACTCTTTCTAAGTTATCT